AACCTAGAGTTTGTTGGATTCACTCCCCTCAGATAAAACCCCCCCCCCGGCGATATAAATGCCTCCTCCCCTTTTACCCCCCGGCCTTTTTTTTTTTTTTTTTTTTTTCCCCCCCCCCCCCCCCCCAAGAGTGATATTATAATTTGGACCCCCTAGTCTTTGAACATAGAGTAGGGAGAGGGAAAGAATATACCCAAATGTTATCCCCCAGGGAAAATTCTGAGGCTCGAGGCAGGAGAAAGTAAAGGGCACCTGGTACATGATTGACTGAATTAATAGTTACCTAGATAGCCATCGTCAATTTTAAGAAGACCACAGAAAGCAGTACTCTGAAACCTTCAATGTGTCCACAAAAGGTCCCGTCTATTTTGATCTATATTAGATCGAATTCCTAACAATATCAAAGAAATAAGATCTTCTATCTATTTTACCCAACATGGATCAAAATGGGCAGAACCTTTTGTAGATATATTTAAGATCTTAGAGTACTGCTTTCCGTGGTTTTTGCAAAAGCATGAAAAAGTCCGAGACACTGGTTTAGCAACATTTAACATGCAAATGCTCAGCTCGATGTCCCTTCATACCACATTTGGAACACAGTAATGGTTTCGGGCATTTAGTAGCAGGATGCCAATCTTCCTGAGGTGGTGTAGGTGGTCTTGTTTGAGGGGCTGCATTGATTTCCTTCTTAATCTTCTCTTTTTGTCTGCGATCCAAATCTCTCTGGGTTTGTTAGCAGAAGTTGTATAAACAGTATGGATAACTAGTTCACGAGATCTGAACTCTGTCTATTATGCCAAATCCGGTGTATTTCTGGCACATAAGTGTATCGGATCCGTGATTGGAAAGCAGATTAACAAAATCCAGATAATGTGGGTATCACTGTAGTACTGATACAGACCCAAATCTGAATGAAGACGAGAAATGGAGAGAAGAAGATGGGCCAGGGAGATAGTCAGAAAGGTAGTGATGGTCAAAGAGGCAGTCAGACAGCCAGAGAGGTAGAGAGACAGTCAAAGAAATAATAGGTGCAATTCAGATAGACAGAAAGTAAGGCTCTAAAGTAAACTACTCCGTACTATATTGACAAAGTCAGGATTTACTTGCGAGCACTGTCTACAGGTGTTATAACGTCGATGTTACCACTACACTATATCCATGGCCTGTTTGTGACATCATTTGAATTTATACTCTTGATGACTACCTGATACCTAAGACGAAAATCTGAAACCTCGCCACAACTCATACCCAAGGCCAAAAGATCATATTCCAGAACCCTCATACTCCAGAGCCCTGATGACTTGGAGCAAGCTGGTTAAATCCTCATTTTAGTGTCCGGTCATTCTGAGAAAGGAAATTTGGATTTGTTGGCCCATGACGTTCTGGTATTGGTTTATTTTCTCCTCATTCACATAGAATAGGGCCGTAAAGAACTCAAAAGGCGCCCAGGCGCCCAGGTGGCCAGATTGAGCTTCCTGGAGGATAGATCTATAGATACAGTCGTACAGTCTAGCTTAGAGAACACCTATAGATCATCCATCCTCGTTCGTTCGATTTCTTCAGTTTGCAGAATAGATACTGGTTTTACTGCCCGCCCATGCTGTGGTGGTACTCTATATCCCGGCTGCCGTCCTGTCGGCTCAGGCTAGTCAGACCACCATCGCGCTCTTCCCTCTTCACTAGGTAGTTCTATCGGTGTACGGAGTACTCCGGTGTTGATTCTATCCAGTGCGCTTGCATTGGTGGCCGCGTTGTAGCGGGGGCTCGGCAAACGCGCCGCCGAGTCCGCAGCTCTACTTCTAAAGTTTGTATTTTTCTTGTGATTTTGGGTGGTACGGGATATGCTTCACTGCAGAGTTGAATTATTCATACAATCTTTTCACTATAGTAACCTGAACCCGGCCATTTCCAGGCCGGGATTGGGCGTGGTGCCCGAGACTACTCTCTCGAGATAGTCATTAGTCGAACCGCCCATGCGGGCGGAACTGATACGACCCAGGAATATATAGAGGTGATCTGGCAACAGAGGCCAGACGAACTCCTCTTCGGGGTATTCCTGGGTGCCGCCCGCCGGCAAAGCCGGTCGATGGGCTGGCGGCGAAGAATTCCCGCAGATGGGGATTGGGTTGGTTGTCTTTTGAAGGATTTTTTTTATGCATCAGCAATATCAAAACAACTTCACGCAGCAGCCAGCACGGTAGGCGAGGGAGTCCACTTGGTGACTTTGGGCTGCAGGCGAATATCCTTGCTAACAAGTATATTCCACTCATTTCGAGTGATGGGCGTGACATCTGATGCCGACAATGGTGTCTTGGGTCCCCGCTTTGTCGCTCTCTTGGAGGGCGGGGGCTGTCTCCGACCACGCACAGTTTGGATTGGAGACTTCTTGACATGCTCACGGGGCCGCTCAGCCTTGACGCGGATCGGAACAGGGTCGGCCTTCTTCGCTGGGAGGCGCTCGGCCTTGATCTCGACTTGGGGTTGGGAGGGAAGAATGATCGCGTCTTTTTTGTGTAAATTCTTGTATGCCGCCGCCACGGCGGTCAGTTGTGTATCGGGGACATCAAGTTGCTCGTAAACACGGTGGAAGAAGGCTTTGCTGAAAGGGCGGCCAGAGAAGTCGCCCACGATGCGGTGGAGGAGTTGCACGCAGGATGACATGGCTTGTTCGTCGGTGCGGGAGAAGGGGCGGTTGGAGAGGATGCACATGCGACGCTTGAATGTGTAGATGCGGTCCATGTTGAGGAGGGTCAAGCCTTCCTGGCTGAAGACAACTTCGTTCTGCAGGATAGATTGCTTCACCAGGTATTCGTTTGCTTGACGTTCGTATTGGCTGCGCCCGAGTGCGTCAGTCCAGCTTTGTCCCAGAGAGAACTTCCTCGAGGCCTTGGCGATGGCTCGCTCCAGGACGCGCCAGGCTTGTGGTTGAACGGGGTCAATGGGAATGATCATGAGGTCGGAAGGTTGCCCGGTCGGGTAGGGCTTTCCTCGCCCCACGAGAAGTGTGACGTGCATCATCTTGACCTGGAGCTTCTTGGAAATGTATTCCATGGCGGGGAGAATGGATGGGATGATGCTCTCCGAGTCGAAGCTGAATTCCGGAGAGAGAGGTGGAGAGATCATGTCGTTTGTCAGTCGAGGTGAGTTCGGAACGTAGATGCCCGTTGGGCGAGGTAGACGCATTACACCCATGATGAGACCTGAGAGAGATGCAGAGAGCACTCAGTTCAGGATGCTTCAGGGCTGATATAGATCGCAGCTCAGGGGGGGGGGGGGGGGAATTCCCCGCATATCCCGTTTCTTAAGGAACAACGAGAATTAGCCCTCAATTAATGCTCTAATCATAGAGAAATTCCCAATGTCTTCTCCAATCACAAATATCCGATCAGCGCGATAAAAATACCTGTAACCGCTGCGGCGTTCTGCGGCCAATGACCGTCGCCCAGTACTTGGCCCTAATGCACCTCCTGCATCCCTCTGCACACTTACGAGTACACCTCCACTTACACTTGTCCATTATCCAACATCGAATTCGACATCCTGATTCGCAAGGAGATGGCCCCCAAATGGTCAAATTCTCAATTTCCACCATCCAGTGTCTCGGTACTCTAGCCTCCCACCGACAGGCTGAGAGCGATTCTCAGCTTCCAGCACCGGACACATCTCCAAGAAAGGTGCAGGACAAACGGCAGCTAGTTCTAGCTACAGGTCAACAGCGGATATCTCGAGATGATGACTGGTCTACGCAGGTCGCCCACTGCATAATTCTCGTTAGCATGAACGCGACCCTGTTCGCAGAGTCCAGACATGACCACACCCACAGCTGGTCAACACGAGCTCACTTTACTCAACTGCACCCAGGCCCGCCGCCTCTCTGCGCATAAACCCGGGTTATGCACTCAGGCTGAAGACAGCGCCTCGTTCTCGATCCTGAGAGGTAGGGCTTGGGGAGCCCTTTGCCCGGAACTCCACTCGACATGCATTTTCGAGCCCCATGGCTGCATCTCCTGACTGAGATCATAATTTTCCGTATTCCCCGCGCCACGTTGAACTGGCGATGTGATTCTGCATTTGCGGCTGCCCATCCGAGACCAATCAGTACCCGACTTATCGGGGGCCTTTGTTTGTCGGGCACCTGCTAGATGATGTGTCCTTTCTGACCGTCGCGAAGAGCCTCTTTGACTCTGTTGGTGGCGTATGATTCAATGCTCTATTGGCCTGAGATTGGTGGTAGTTGGGGGCCGAAAGCAGTTCGCGTCATCTGGATATCATCTTAATTGAGCTTAATTTACTTGATTGTCAGTGCTGAACGGTGACAAGCGCGATTTTCCAATCCTTTACTCCTGGTTACTGACACGGCAAGGAATTGATGTTCAACACAAACCAAGTTGGTCCTTATGATGGTTATGTTTGCATTGTTTGTGCTAGGGGAAGAAGAGCGCGATGGCGGTCAGACACCGGATTGCTCTCCTTCCTCCCATGTTCATCTTTGACAACTGTGTTATTGGACATTCATCTGTTTACTACACGTGTTTGCCAACAACACTGTATGTAAGAGCTCACCTGGTCGCATAACCAAACACTTTCTGTTCAACCCCAATCGGTCCCAAGGTTTATCCCGCTTGCTATCCACTAGGAAGCTCCTTTGCAAAACAAGAAAAACCTTCAACCGAGATTCTTCCTGAACGTGTATTTCGTGACAAATGCAACCATAATGTCGTCAAGTCAAAAGAGGCACTCCTCGCCATTCGCCGCTCCGTTGGGTGTACCAAAAACCAGTCAACAGCACTGTTTTGTATCGGTGTTGGACACTCCTAGCAATCAAAATCCTAAAGCGCATTCGGCCTCGAGAAGGAAGCGTTTTCATGCTGACTGACCGGCTATACGTCAAGTACGAGAAGCGCGTTCACTTGTCTGAAACACCAAGAATGCAATTTATACCGCAATATACCACCATCCCGGTACCCAAAGTCTTTTGTGCATTTCCAAGTTCTGGTTGCACATACATTGTGATGGAGAGGATCAAGGGAGATATAATCGGTAATGGCCGGGTGAGACGAAGTGAGGAGTCGAAAGCGAAACTCCTTTCGCGATTGGCAGCGAACATTCGCCAAATGCGGGACCTTCAGCCTCCGGAAGGTACTAGGATTGCTTCTGTCGATGGCGGATCACTTTTTGACTGCCATATTCCGAGCCCTAGCTTTCGCTTCGCCCCCTTTGATACCCCCCAAGACCGCCATCGGCATTTACGCATGGGTATGTATTTTGATCCAAGGCTTGATGACGATATTAAACAAACTATAGATTATAGATCTGTTGATATCAAAGTGGTGCTGGTATTCATTCCGCTGACAATGATCTATCACCCGCTCAGCACCTTTTCCCACTCAACAACGCTTGCTTTCGGAATATCTACCACCTGGCCTTTTTGATTGACGAAAAAAGGGTTGTAGTGAAGCGAATCGCAGAGCAAGAGCCTCACTCTGAAGTTCACCTCGGCAATCCGCAAAAGAGAGATGCCAGGGTGGACTGGGCGTGTTGTTGCCAAGCTGGTTGGAAGGGGATCTTTCCAGCGGAGAAAGTTCCATTGGCAAATTGCACCCAAGACCTGATTTAATGAAGGTCATAGCATCAATAGGGGGTCATGTGAGCTCTTCGCGAGGGTATGTAGACCATAGTTCATTGTTCGTCCACTCACATATGTCCTTCCAGAAAACTCCTCGTTGGCAGGGCTGATAACCAGACGTCCAAGGAGCACACAAAATGCATCCATTTCCAAGGGAGATAAAGAGTGATTGGAACCGGGTCATTTCTGTCATCTGCAGACCGCAATTGGCTGTGGAACGTTGGAAGTGTCTTGGCGCCGCCGCTTAGGGCCCGATACGTGCACCTCGCCCGGGTTGAGGCTAGCGCTGGCCTGCCAAGGTGCAATTCCGTCTTGGCGAAGCTATGCTCTTTATCTCTGGACGCTTGAGCGAGTGATAGGAAGTTTAGGTAAACGTTGTTTTATCAGCTGGCCTGATGGGGGCTGAGTCAAGGATGCGGTGGCGGGCTTGGGTTACTTTTTACCTCCTTTGAGTGGCGTAGATTCATTGGGACCTGGGAGGCAACGAGGTTGAGTTGAAGACGAGAAATTCCGCATTTGCTCTTCGCCTCATCTCTATCACGGAGAAAGCCGAAAAGTGCAAGGAAACGAAATACCCCGAGGTTACATGATGGGACTGGGAGTGGGCGTGAGTGGGAGGATCGAATCCGGGGATAAACATCAGCCCCGCAGAGCCAACGAAGGCTTGGCGCTCATCTTCCAAAGTCGAAATGTTGACTAGTCGGACTTTTTGATCAAAGCTCAGCTGGTTATCAGTTGCCCAGTTGATTAAAACGGGTTTGAGCTCGTGGTAGGGCTAGCCGTTCAAGAGCCTCCAAATCTTTGAGCCAATACTCCGTATACCCTAAGTTGTAGACTTGAGTGTGAAAGCACCACACCAAAACCTCTCGCTTGGACGCTTTGAACTGTAACGTACCCTATACGAGCATAGCGTGAGGCCAAAAAGGCTTGGCTACCGCGGACCCCGTACTTCTCGGGTTGTTGGTCTTGATTCTTATCTCAGTTTGCCTGCTCTTCTTACTTAAGAGCTCAGCCCCCAGTCTGCTCCGATCTCGTGTTACTTCATCCGGTCTCAACCTTCTTACATACTAGCCAAACACTTTTCCTCTGCCATCCCCTCCAGCGCATTGTGCGCGTTGAGATCATGGAGAAATCCGACTTTACCGAGAACACGGTTACGAAGAGGCTCAGTGGGGACGATCCAGAGATCCAGCGCGGGGGTCTTAACGATCCCAACCATGTTGAGCTAACACGCGCTCTGAAGGCGCGACACATTACCATGATTGGTAGGTGATCTCGTGGCCAGGAAAGGTATATTAGCTGACACGGGCTAGCTATCGGAGGTGCTATAGGTACCGGCTTGATTATTGGAACGGGAGAGGCTCTTGCAAAGTAAGTATCACAGTGTGATCTGCGCTCCGAGCTCAAGTCTAACGAACTCATTCACAGAGCCGGTGTATGTGTACCATTGTGAAACCCAGACTCCTCGACTAACTTTCATAGCCCGGCGCAATCCTGATTTCCTACGCTTGGGTCGGTTTCATCGTATACCTTGTGATGTGTGCTTTGGGTGAGATGGCAGCATGGCTGCCACTGCCCTCCGGGTTCACTGGTTATGCCGTACGATTTGTCGACCCTGCGCTTGGATTTACCCTGGGTTGGACGTGAGTGATCTAGCTCTCACAACTGTTATCATGCTAACAATACCAAAAAGATACTGGTTCAAGTACATCATTCTCTCGCCGAACCAAATGACCGCCGGGGCGTTGGTCATATCTTACTGGATACCAGCAGAAAAGATCAATCCAGGAGTATGGATTACCATCTTCCTAGTCTTGGTTGTGGCAATCAACTATTTCGGAGTGAAATTCTTTGGCGAATTCGAGTTTTGGCTTTCCTCGTTCAAAGTCATCGTGATCCTCGGCATCATACTGCTGTCCTTCATTCTCATGTTAGGTGGAGGGCCAGACCATGACCGGAAGGGCTTCCGCTACTGGAAGAATCCAGGTGCTTTCAACCACTACGTGATGGAAGGGCCGCCCGGTCAGTTCCTGGCCTTCTGGTCCACCATGGTGTCGGCCACATTCGCCTACCTTGGAACAGAGTTGGTCGGAGTGACAGTTGGCGAAGCCCAGAATCCTCGCAAGACTATCCCTAAGGCCATCAAGTTGACCTTCTACCGCATTCTTGTTTTCTACGTTCTGAGTGTGCTTCTGGTTGGCACACTTGTCCCATACAATTCCCCCAAGCTTTTGTTTGCCCTCGGAGACAACAACAAAGCTAAAGGCTCCGCCGCAGCTTCGCCCTTCGTGGTCGCTATCGAGTTGGCCAACATTCCCATCCTCTCCCACATTCTTAACGCGTGTATTCTCCTCTTCGTCTTCTCGGCGGCAAACTCCGATCTCTACATTGCCACTCGCACGATCTACGGTCTAGCCCGCGAGGGCAAAGCCCCGAAGATTTTTGCTCGCACCGACCGTCGCGGTGTGCCAGTCCCAGCACTTGCCATCTCTTCAATCATTGCACTGCTAGCATACATGAACGTGAGCGGAGACTCCCGCGTTGTGTTCAAATACTTCGTGAATCTCGTCACAATCTTCGGTCTCCTTACCTGGATCTCCATCTTGGTGACACACATCTACTTCGTGCGTGCACGCAAGGCCCAAGGCGTACCCGAGTCGGAGCTTGCATACAAAGCACCTTTCGGTGTCGCAGGCTCATACTTCGCTCTAGGATTCTGCATACTCATTGCCCTGACCAAGAATTATGACGTCTTCATCCACAAACCCGCCACATACGGAAACTTCGATTACAAGAACTTCATCACGGCTTATCTTGGCATTCCACTGTATCTGATCATGATCGCCGGGTACAAGATTGTCACCAAGTCGAAGGGAGTACACCCGTTGGAAGCAGATCTGTTCTTGATCGGAAATTATATCTGATATAGAATGATTCTCTAGATGCTCCGGAGCTTGGAAAGCTTGGACGGCTTGACAGCTCTGTATCCCTCTTAGGGATGGATTCTCTACTCTATTCGTGTGTTTGCAGTGGTTCCATCACAGGGTGCCATTAGGGATGCCATTGTGAGAATCGGAGGGTTGGGTGCCTGAGGGGTAAGGCATCCGCACCCGAACCCGGGCACCCAACCCTCCTAAATTCTCTCAGTAGACCTTCCTCTCTCTCTCTCTCTTCCTTTTCTCTTAGTTACATGGACCGCGATTCTGCGCCTGCCACCTGACAGTTTTGGTAGCTCTGCAGAATATGTTTTTACTATAGTAGATCTGAAAGGGAGACAATTTGTTGAGATCTAAATAAAAGAAGATTGTACGATACTTAATCATTGCGAATCAAAATAGTGATATTTAGTTCGCAATGAAAGTCTAGATTTACCTAAGTAGCAATCAATTAATTTTGATCTAAAATAAAGTCGCTAGGTTTATAATAAAAATGCAGCAAGGTTGAAACGGTCTAATTGCTCTCCGACCCATCCAATATATACACTTTCAAAGAACCTTGCTTCTTTTTCGTAGCCTCTTAGATTCCCTGGTCTGCCTCAAACGGGTAAACACATGGGGACAGAATGTAAAAATGTTTCTTTGGATGTATGGCACCAACAGGGGATCACTAAAGAAAGTCAATGCCCATGGATAGTTTGGCATATAAAGGGAACCTGTGGCTATTAGATAGCAGAAGGACTACTTGGACAAATCTCGCAAGATATACGCTGCTGCAACTTTGGAATGTTTACGAAGAATTGACTTTACTCGTTCGCCAAATCTTCAAATGCTACAGGCTCTTCTTGCAGGGGTAAGCTACATCTACTCCTTTTATCGACGTGCTCATTGACTCTCCATCAGGCGGCAGTCGTACAGCTTCATGGCGATACTACAAGGTCATGGTTTCTAGTTTCGCTCGCATCCCGCGCTATTGTTGCTCTAGGCTATCATAAAATGATGACTTTTGATCCTGAATCTGATGAATTGTATTAGTAAAGATTGCGAACCTAGTGCATTGTAGCAATAATTACTTTAGCTTCTCAGATATGCCTTGGCAGACTCCCCCCAAACAGCAGCTCTTTTGTAGAAGTGGAAACCAGGAACGTTGCCTTGCTTCAATCCGTCTATAGCTTCGGCTAGCGCCTCGCCGAGTCCCTCGCCTTTGATCTCAGGGAGGCTATAGAGATAGGTCTTGAAAGAAAAGAGTATGGCGCGAGTTTCTGGTAAACGGTGCAACATCTGCCTCTCACAACGCACTCGAGCCTAATAATTTATCAGCTCAAATATGCACATGCTATGTAAGTCACTCACAGTATCAACGTTGATCTCCTCTTGAGCCACAGCCTCGCCCTCATACAGATGATTTCCAGATGCAGTAAAAAGCTTATTTGTCGTTGTTATGGTCCACTTAGCTGATTAGCTGGCTTGTCCTCGAATTGTAGAAATTATGGCTCACGTTCGCGCGTTTGATGAATTTTCCCGTCTTCAAACGATCAAGATATCGGTCCATGCTCTTCTCTAACTTTTCCTTGTATTGAGGAACTGGCTTATGGATATCCCTCAATTTGAGGTTCAACTTCTCTGTCGTGTTGAACCCGTTGGGAAAGCATGTAACGAATGCCCTCAGCTTGTATCCATCTCCATCTTCTGAAGGCAGAAGAAAAAGTAGATCATCGTCAACAAGGCCTCCCATGAGTCTCAGTGTCACAATAGCGCTTGTATCAGGTTCAAGTGAATAATCTCTGCCTGTAACACTACAATGCAGCAGTTGTGACTTTTCGTTCTGGGGTTGTAACTGGAACATAAGTGGAAATCGTGTTGGCAGGTAGGTCCCGACAAGCCAAATGTAAAACTCATCAATAGCTGGTTTGGCGCTATCATCGGCGGCGGACACTTGATCGGGATATTGCTCTATCAGGCTTTCTCGCAGAGTTATCCTTTCGAGATAATTTTTATCCATTTCTATTAGCTCATCCACAGTCGCGTCTTGGATGCCTGTCCCGCTCTAGTCAGTTCATCCACTATCTTCAGAAGTGTCGTTGCAAGGATACATACTCATTGTCAAGTTGTACTTGGGTTTGAAAGGCCAAATTTTCAATGGCTTTTTGGTCTTCCAGTCAAAATTTGACAATGGGCTCACAGTTGGGTAACTTTTCGGTTGGGTTTCGGATGAAGCATGGTGAGGTGGTGGGTTTGAAGTGATGGAGGGGCGTCTATGAAACCTTGCGAGCAAGAAAGCAAGACTTGAGATAAGACTGACACAAAAAATCACAGAAAGGCTAAGCCAGTGGTAAAGGTTGATTGATAAAGATAACATTTTGACATAAGAAACACACGGTGGTATGAGAATTGAATTCCAGAGGGCGAGGCGCGGAAGATATATCAATATAGAGCTCTAGATATTTCTCCTCGGTTAATGGGAAGAAATAAGTAAAACACAAGTGATATCATGGCGCCCACGAAAAGCCCTGCAATATTATTACTTCGAAGTAATAATTAACTCGAAGTCGCACTTAGAGCCAATGGTTGTCGGCTGACCAGCGCATCGATTCCGCTGGATTGAGGGGGGACAATCAAACTGCTCACATTTGGTTCCTTTTTTGGAATCTTATCATTCTCTTTCCCGGGCCGAACCAACATTAGATGTCTTTTTGCCTCGAGATCCGCGTATGCTTACCCCGCACAACCTTATCTTCCGGTGCTCACTCGACCTACCACTTTGGGTGGTGCCAGTCCGCTGTTTTTATCTAGGAGATTCTTCAAGCGTCTAGTATTCCCGCTCAGACAGTCTGGTACATTTTCCGATTGAATATCTCTCGGTGGTTATCTAAGCTGATTCGCAGATTTCGCCGTTCGCCCCGGAAAGGGGATTGGTATAGATAATGGAAGTGAGGGGGAAGTGAATCTTGTCTAGGGTAGTTTGAATAATCTGGTTTTCCAAGTTTCATATGCATTTATGCAAAGTTTTCAATCGCCGAAATAAAAGATATAAAGAATGGTGAAGAGTCATTTAGTGATCCCTCAGAATTATTATTCCATCCAATACACATTCAAACTTGATCAAGATGACCAGTCAATCTTGTGTGAAGCCTTTCTCCCTTGACAGAAAAGGTAGGCTAACAGTGAATTCGCCAGCTCTAACCACAGCTGACTCTATGTCTAGGTGGCTCTTTGGTAGAAAAAAGTTGGTTGAAACAAGACCATGGACGATTTTCATGGCTAATGTACAATTTCGAAATAGACGAAGACCAGATAAGAGGAACAGTGGAGACTGCAAACCTCGAGCTGCTAGGTCTTACCCAGCAGACAGAGCGAAGTCTAAGCACTTTCCAGATCATTTGTGGTGGTTGGAATATTTGCAACAGCTGGGCCGGCATTGTCGGCACCCTGGCCATAGGTATTTCACAAGGAGGAACAGTTCTTCTTTTGTATGGAATTATTATCGTCATGGTCATTGTTGGACTATGTACGGCCACTTTGGCAGAGCTTTCTAGTGTATATCCAACAGCCGGAGGTCAATATCATTGGACTTCCATCCTGAGTCCTGCAAAATGCAGTCGAGTGTTGGTGAGAAAAGCACCATCATCTCTGTTTGTGGCTACTGACCTTGGTTCCAGAGCTATTGCTGTGGAGCAGTCAACATCTTTAGCTGGATCTCAATCAGCGCTGGTGTCACTATCCTCCCTGCCGAATTTATCATTTCCATGGTGGTCTACAACGACCCAACCTACAATTCTCGGACATGGCACTCTTTTCTGATCTATCAAACAGCCAACATAGCTGTCCTAATATACAACATTTTTGCTATGAAGAGGACTTCATGGATCCACGATGTTGGTTGTAAGTCTTGTTGTTTGCCTTCGACTTCTTTCTTCGGCTAACAAACATCAGTTGTTGTGTCACTGTCTTCCTTCCTAGTCATATTCATAACATGTCTGGCTCGAGCCCCACATATGCAAACATCTCAATTTGTATGGACAACGTTTATCAATCAGTCTGGGTGGAAATCGAATGGGGTTGCATTCCTTACCGGACTGATTAATCCAAATTATATTTACGCTGGGATCGACGGTGCGATCCATCTTGCCGAGGAGTGTGGAAACGCAAGCACTGCTGTCCCGTACGCTCTAATGAGCACTCTTGTCATTGGCTTCCTGACATCCTTTGCGTTTGTTGTTGCGATGTTCTACTGCATGACTGACATGGATGCTGTGATCCACACATCAACTGGGTAAGTTTATTCCAGAAGATATAGACACCACTAATCAAATAAAGCGTTCCTATTTACGAGATATGGGTTCAAGCTACACGCTCCGATGTTGCCTCAACATTATTCATTTGCCTGTTGGCATGTATTGCGTTTTTCTCTTTGAATGGGTGTCAACAAACAGCATCTCGTCTAACATGGGCGTTTGCTCGGGATGATGCCTTGGTCATGTCAAAGTATCTCGGGGTCATCAATTCGAGATTTCAAGTTCCAATATGTGCTCTGTGTGCAAACTCGGCAGTGGTGTTCATCATCGGCTGCATCTACCTTGCATCTTCCACTGCGTTCAATGCCTTGATTGGCACCGGCCTTGTTTTACAACAAATATCGTTTTGTTTCCCAGCAGCTCTGCTCCTTTACCGTCGTCGATCTTCGACTTACCTACCTTCCACTCGATCTTTCAAGTTGGGTGTTCTTGGGTGGGTTGCTAATGTTGTTACCGTGGCGTTTGGCTGTGTTACGTTGATTTTCTACAGTTTTCCATCTGAGATGCCAGCAACCGGTGGGAATATGAGTGAGTTTCATAAATAACTCTTCGTTATACCATGGCTACTAATCTCTCTTCGAATCAGATTATACATGCGTTGTGATCGGGACAATGGCTGTGTTTTCACTGGGCAATTGGTTCCTCTACGCAAGAAAATACTATCAGGGTCCACGACTCCCTACAGATCATACTTAATCTTCTTGGGCCTACGGACTACCAGGCGATGAAAACACGGACGGAAAGGATTATTTCGACTAGTCAGGAGAGACGCGAACTGGGGTTAGCACACAACTATACCCTCTTAGTAATATCTCAGAGCAGGCAAACCATCACAGTCATCATCGGAATTCACAGGTACTCCATCTTGAGCTTCTTGTATTATGAATCTCTAAGAAAATTGACCTATCTCAGTATAGTTATTCCCATGTCCTCACATAATAAAGCCCTCAACATGTTTAACCAACATACTTGGCCAAGTCTCTCTCGACAAATTCTGCCAAACCTTCTCCAGAAAGGAAATCGCATATAAAATGTTCGCAAATCCAGTACTTTTCCAGAGACATTGCAACTGGGTCACAATAAACTCTTGATGGTGAGTGTTCGAACACTCCGCGCCAACAATGAAGAAAGGCCATATCAAAACATGTCCACCAAAGGAAGTCGCGTTAAACAATAAGGCGGTATCGATAAAATGCTGGACTCGCTCTTCAATAACCTCTTCGGAATTATTGGTCACCCGCAACAGATATATGTGCATTGCCTGGTGAACGAGGTCGGCAACATTTGCGATGATGGATTCATTTGTTGAGTCGATTTGTGAGCAATAAAGAATGGCGATGTCTGCGGTTGATATGTGTGACAAGCTGCTCGTGGCAGATATCTCTGATACAAGTGGCGCTGCGTACAATGTCATTCTGCGGCTCATATCAGTCGACTAAACTCGCTGAATGGTCGAGGCTTAAAGGACAGATTTTCCACTCACTTCCTGATTTGTTGTATCAAGAACCGTCCTATTGGACTCTGTTCTATCTTCTTATCGCCACCACGAGAGCAAACGAAACTCCTTACCATTCTAAGGAGAATGATATAGTCTTCGCCAACAGATACCATTTCCTCGATCAGCAGAATGACCATGGTGGCCAAATCTGAAAACGTATTTGCTCCGGTACTACCATCACGCTGGAGACCTTTAATGGCTGCCGTGTGATGTTTTCGAGCCACTGACAGCCATTTCGAGTCCGGATGTTGGTGAGAGAGGTGAGATGCCGACGCGGCAATCATGGCATTCCTCGTGATCTCGTCGTGTTCTGAAAGTGGAAGGAGAATATCGCGATAGCCATTTTTGATATCAATCGCTACCATTGCTGGAGCTACTTTCTGGGAAACTGAATTGTCAGAACCAATTTCAGTTCACTTGGTGGGAGTGGGAGTGGGACAAACAGTATTCAAGAAGAAACCTCGCTTGTTGGTCGAGGTGATCGATATGGCACGTCATGAGATCTTCCAGTGAGTATTCCAAAAGTGACATAGGAGTTTGTGTTGTTGAAGCCTCATCAGGCTTCTTATCGGTGATAGTATTGGGACCAGCGAACTCGTCATCGGTCACGGGAATGGTCTTTCCAGCTAACTTCCCTCTCGAGGCAACACCATTGCTAAACCTATACCTGACACCCAAGCCCCAGCACTCAATTCCCTTCTTTATACATTTCTGACATGGTGAATTGCGATCACAATTTATTCGACGCTGCGAACAGTTGTGGCATCCTGCGCAGTGCCATCCAGGCATAAATTAGCTTCAATTAAAACCACACCAGTTTTCCTTTGCGATGGTCCATGGTTCTTGCTTACCTTTGACACGCCGAGGCTTCTTTTCAGAATCCCGCTTAAGTGACATAAGAGACCTTCCTTGCACAACGATTCTGGACGCGGTAGCTTCGGATTCACAGTTGTCGAATCTGGACAGAGAGCTGGAACAGCGTTTGATCCAAAGACCTATGGGTGCAATTGATGAGAAAATGGAGAGTATACATAGTCCCCAAGTGTTTGAAAACCTACCCCGCAACATTGAAGGTCTCCAGATAAGGATGAGCTACGCCTGGAAGATGTGATTCGTCAACTTAAGTGGGTCATCGCCCAATTCGGGCAAAAACATGAGCACCCGGGCATGTGGCTTCCATGACCACGGTTGGCCTTAACCTTGAAATGACCAAGGTCATCAGTGTAACAATGTGAATTTGGTATCTACACTGCTAGGATCGTATCTCATCATAATTACGATATGTGAACTAAAATGATCCACCAGACCACCCGTTTTGTGATTCTTATCTCACTGAGGCGAAGTGACTGCAGGTGAGATTAGAACAGCCACGAAACAAACGTCCTGTAGAACCACCCAGCACCAGCATTTTGCTCTGCATTAGCCTCCTTGGCTGCGAGGTATGCGGCCTCTTCGCGATCGATCGCTATTACATGGACAAAACACTGAGCATGCTTCTGCTACGTTCTCCTTCTCTACCACAGCTGCCATTCAATCCAGCCGATCTCGTTTATACAGATCCTCAGCTGCCGATCTCCATGCACGTCAAGATCTTGGTGAAACTCGCCCGCGTCCAAGATGTGGCTTTATCACTGGTACTGAAGGACCCGCGCCCGCAAGTACTCACAACCAAAGAATACATGCTGGAGAACATTCAGACTGAGCTTAAATCTATCGGCGATGAAATACAGCAGGTAAAAGTCACCCCACCCAAACTTCTGGTAAAAGATGCTAAGCCCCTTCTAGCTGCGGTATCCTCCAAGTCGCGAGCCCTCGATAATGATCGAGTGGGACACGATTGATTTCACTTTTTTCTCCATCGCCACTACCGTCCTTCGTCTCGACTCATCTTCTTTGCATGACAAGACTCGGCGAGAGGAGTGTTTGAGATATGCACGAAAAGCTCTCCATTCGATGCAAGCGTGCCAGAAGCATATATGCTCAACGTCCAGCATCACACCAGACTATCTGTTTTGGTATGTAGTCTTCCATTAACTTCCCAGACGAGCTTGGCTTATATTGGACAGGACAGTATTGCTGTACCCGCTTACCCCGTTCTTCGTCACTTTCTGCAATGTGGTCGCTACTTCGAATTTGGATGATCTCAGATTGTTAGAAGAGGTGACAGTCACAATATCCAGGCTCAAAGAGCAGTATATTATCGGTATGAATCTTCACAGGCTTCTCTCTGAGCTCATTGGTCTTTGTGATGAGCTTCACGACGTTCCTCCAAATGGGGATCATCGGAGATCTCAGGAGGATCGATCTTCTTGCAACCGAGAAGCGCATGTCCAAAGACTTTCAAGCGGCGCTGAGTTTGAGACCGGTGTGGATCCCAGTGGACAGACTGCCTCTTTTCCAACACTCGGCGAGGATGATGCTCCGCCAGCTGAATCCTCAATACCGGAAGGTGACTCGGCTTGTCAGGAACTGGGCAATTCTACAACAGGGGCGGCCTCCATCTGGGACGACGGGTTGATGTTCGAACTTTTCAACCTGCAGCCTTCTGTTGAATGGCTTGATATAGAGAGCGTGGGAATGATCGAAGGTCTACATAATTGAGCATTTACAAGGACAATTTAGATCTCAAGCCTCCATTCACCAGTTAGTAGCTGCGATCGCTATAGTCGCTGTGGTTGGTGAGAGCGACCGCGAGAGGGCGAGAGAGGCACTCAAAATAAGAGTAGAGAAGATTCCGGTGATATAGATCAATAGCAGAAATGCCTTAGAACGGCTAGAGCTCGGGGAAAAAGGGGAGTCAGAAGAATACTTAAGTAGAGGCAGGACAAAACCAAAAATCTTGGGAGAAAGAGAGCTTTTATAGTACATACCACGCACGAGATTGCACAAATCCAAGTGCGCTAAGCCAAAAGGGTCATGTAGCCATATAAGGTGAACACCGTAATTTTATTAGCAGATCATCAAGTTGTGTTCTAAGGGTTCAGGGCGCTTTAATAGATGGATGTATTTTCTTTTTGCCTCACTTTTCCTTTTGAGGGCCCTGATATAACGTATAAACTTTCTTATAGTAGAGTTCATTCTTTCCCAGCAAGATAAAAAAGTATATTTTCTGCTTAATCTTACGAGTAAGATTATGTACCTAGTCACTTCTGGAGACTCGCTGTTAGTATGGATCCCGGAATGGACCGGCATCCTGATCCGAATAATATAACTATATTACCTTCTTTAGTGCTAGAACTAGACCTGGGCATGGGCACGCCTATGCCCAGGTCTGTCCCGGAGCCAGTTCAAACTATGATCAAGCGAAGAATTATCTGGTGAAGAAAGCAACACTGATCCAGAATTTCTATGTTGGTGGTCACCTAGGGCCTACGGTGCGCATGTCCCATGGTAGCTGCCACCTGATAGTTGTGAGTTACAAGTATTGTCGTCATAATTGATACCCATCCCCTATCATACACGGCAAGCTCAAGTCCATTTGGGATTTCCCATATCTTCAGCTGCGAACATCGAAAATGATGTCCTTTCAGGATTTTCTTCCGTCAACCACACCCAGATATAGATATAAGGGTTATCGCGAATGTCTAAGACTTTTCGAAGAAGAGTATGAAAAGTTTGAGCATGAAGAAGATCCACTCGGATGCGCGTATAACCCTTATTTCATTATGAATATTGACGAGCGCTCCTTCCTTGAGTGTTTTGTAAACTCGGAGGATAATCTACTGACGCTGTCTTGGGAAATTTATGATCATGTCTACCAGTCCACGCTATTGAAAATGGAGTCCCCAGCTCACGCTGTTGCCATCGGGACGTTCAACACTATCTTCTCTGCCTGGGCCAGGAAAGTGACCGACCCCATTCTATTCAACACCACCACCAGAACTGTCCGTGGTAGAAGCCGCACCAAGAAAGCCGATATCTCGTTCACACCAGCGGAGGTGCCGAGTGGTTGGTCGCATAAGTGGCCAACTTTCGTTGGCGAGGTTGCATGGTCGGAACCTCGCTCAAAGCTGATAGAAGATATGAGGTTCTGGCTAGAAGACCAGGAGAGTTCTGTCAATGTCGCCATAACAATTAGTGTGCTCCGCGGTCGGATTTTGATCGAGAGCTGGGAAGTGTCTGACAATAAGCCTCCATCGCCGACCCAAATGATCGAAATTGTGCGCAACCCTCTGCCCGGCCGCCCCCAAGTCAGTGGCCGCTTAGAGATCAAGTTTTCCGATGTTTTTTTAATGGAGCCCAAGCCTGGGGCCAGGGAGCGAAATTTCCTCATGACAACAGCGGATATGCATGAGTTGGCGACTGGTATCTGGGAATACCAATACTCAGCCGGCTCAAACAACTCCCAGTAAAGGCACAGTAATGATTTGGCAGTGTGGACTCCGGGCCATTGGTTGTTATTCTTATTGTCATTCTTATTATTCTTATTATCATTGTCACGGTGTGAAGCCGCAGTACTGTTCCTGATTCTGTTGTAGCTCTTCGAGCTACGTCCTGTCTCCATTCCGTACCCTGCTGTCTGTCTGTCTGTTTGCCGCCTGTGTCTGCTCCTAGTCTTATGAGAACCTGATCCCACTCTGCCTCTTGACAATCATTATTATTATTAGCGCCTGTTCTTATAGTCTGACTCCAAGAAGGTGTTTTCATTAACCAACATCATAGTTCCACACCTAGCCGCGATGAGCATTCTGCTGAGGAAATACAACTTGAAGACAGCATATCGACGCACGGCGGGCAGGAACATCAAAACCGATTGCTCTTGTGATGTAAACGCCGATGTAGGGAGCATACAGATGACTATTTGACCCTTTATACTACTCACGTAGTTAATTCTAGCTCCCTAAATATAGATAGCACCTCGATATAGCTAATTATATTAGAGCATAATTTAATCTTACTCGCTAAAGAGATCCGAAAAGAAGACGTAGTACGCTTTAGACTTACCTCTAATATAGAGAGCGTAAGTTTAATATAAGGAACGCCGAAGATCACCTTTCTATCTATACCTACGGAGAATAGCTTAGATATCGATATTTTAGCATTCTCTATAGGGAAGCTATATCTAAGCGAAAGGGGCGCAGTTTGCAGTCGAGGAGTCGCGCAGGAGATAACAAGGGTAACGGAGCTCGGTAATCCGGGTCAATGACAAAATGCCTCGGCAGCAGAGTACGGACGAAGATGGGGCGAGCTGAGAAGCAGGGGGCGAAAGAATAAATGTTGGATCCAGGGGGGGACTATACGGAGTATACAACCACGCACGGGCACGCACAGCGACCGTCAGCGCTAACACCGTACTTGATAAAGCTAAACTGGCAACAACCTCTATCCTACTCGTCCGATATGGTGTAGTGGCTAACATCGTCGTCTCTCACACGACAGCCGGGGGTTCGATTCCCCCTATCGGAGATTCTTTTTTGTTTTTCTGTTTTTTCCATTCGTTTAAAAACCAGGGTTTTTCGAATGCCTGAGCAATGCTACACGAAAAGAACTGGATTTTTTGGAATAGAGTTGTGCTTTGTTAAATTTTTTCAGATGCTGAGATGTACTGGAGTCGGCACTACACCAGGCGCATTGAATTTTATACAACTTAGAAGTATCCGGTGCCAATCTACCTGGGCATCTGCTGCGCATAAGGAACCCACCACATAAGCTTGAGATAGTTGAGGTATGCAATCCCAGTATATGTTGCCGGAATATATCGGGCCCCGCGGTGAATCCACCACATCGTCACCTTAGCTGTCCATGTTGCTGAAACGATAGCCCATCCCATAGACGAGCTGAAGGATGACGGCACGATATGACGATACAATATCTCAGGGTCATCGAAAAAGGACCTAGCGTGTGGAAGAAATTTTCGCTTTGAAGCGGAGTACCGTTGCAACTCAGTATTTCCCCAGGACGGATGAAGTTCAATCTCACTTCCGACGTACCAAACCTCCGGTAGCGTCGAGTGAAGTTCTTTAGCCTGGCTGTGCTGCTTGAACAAACGAACGAGCTCAACGGATGAATCGCAATTTGACTCTACCGCACTCTGACCTTTTGAGCCGTGAGCCAGGATAAGGACATCACTCCTTGAAAAGGCCGAGATCGCTCCCTCAAAATCATTATTGTTCCAATCCGATCCAAATTTCAAGGTATGGATGCTTTGCACTCCTTCACGTCTCAGCTCGGCGATCATGGCTTGACCAAAAGCGCCGCTTCCGCCTGTAAGGACAAATCTTTTGGTGCGCAATGAAGACGCAGTGCCCCATACCCAGTCGAAACATTTGATGAAAGAACTCATATATCGCTTGGGATATACATGATGAAGGCAGTGGAATTCAGGGCCTACAAATATCCAGTTCGGATCCTTAGGCGCTCTGTGGTATGTGAGGTGATTTGAATCGCGCCCACTAGTGCAAATGACAAAGGTCGACCTTAGAATTTGCATGCCCATCAAAGCCCAGAGATGGACTTCAGTTATCCATGCCTCGGCATTGGGCACCACTAAAACAGCGAGCATGTATCCCAGGCAGCTTCCAATGATCTGAAATCCCAATTCAAGAGGCAACGCCTGGAACTGATTCTGCCGCAAATAACGTTGATCAAACTTCATTTTTCGATTGTAATAAAGGTGGTGGAAGTGGTGGATGCGTTCGAGGCGTCGGAGGAAAGGATGGGAGGATCGAGTGCATTGGTGAAGCTGGTAATGAACGATGTCAAAGAAGATAGAACTGACACTGAAGAGATAGATCAGAGGTAACAAAGATGCGATGAAATGGCCGACAATTTGGAAAGACTGAGAGACTTTACTGGAATTCGTATCAGCCAGTGAAAGGAATGTTGAACCCATTATTGCCATGACTTTGAATAGCTCAGAGGGAATGACCGGACGCAGTCGCACAGCTGAATTGAGGATTAAATAACACCGAACAACGGTTGCCTGGAGATCGAGGCCCAAGAAAGACGCAGATCTATCTTGAAATCCTAAAATAGGATGAAGTAGGGTGTGAAGGATGAACTACTTGTGAAACCACCAAACTCAGAATTATGTCGGAAACTATAGTGTCGATTCTAAGGTTTCTAAGATTCGTCCAGTGAATGTCACGACAAATGAAGCCTATTTCATGATACATGAGATTTATCATGGAACTCAACTATCGTTTACGGAGACTGAGCATTCAAAAAGATAGTCCAAAAAACCTATAAATACAGTCAGCACCCTATCTTCACTATAAGACAAAGTGGGTCCATGTTCGATGTTGCATCCAAGGCAGCGATATTATAGCAGAATTAAGGATTTTAAAGTCTTGGCTGTACATTTTGATGTCAGAATTCTCCACAATCAAAGTTTCAGGGTAAGTCAGTTATTCTATATGACAATGAACACGGCATGGATGGATGGCAGCCCACATTAGCGGCCATTTTACCCTCGAGTATAGTGTTCCCAGTTATTCCCCCAACAAAGTTTACCTGTTCCCAATACTTACAATTCTATTGAGTACAAGTGCCTCTGGGCAAGTAAAGATAACACGGAGTACATCGCATTGAACGAGAGCCTGCGGGCTTAAGACGAGATGTGGTTAGCCTCTGAGCCACATAATTCTGAGATGGAGCGTCAAATACGAGTACGAGATGTGGTCAGCCTCTGAGCCACATAATTCTTAGATGGAGCGTCAAATACGAGTACGATATGAGCTAAGCTAGATCCAAGCTCTATAAATTACTGGGTTTGTTCAGCCTCTTCTAGTCAGTAGTCTAGGCGAATGGATTTCCACAAATATACGTCTTTAGTGGGGAACCCGATTAAGGTAAAGATGCCGTACTCGTATCCGTATTCGCCTGATCCTCTGGCGTGTTTATTCTATTCAGTTGTTTTCCTTTGTCTGATAGAGATTTGATGGGAATTCTTCAACTAGGGAAAGGCTTTGACTCAGAACACTGCCTGAGCAATGTTGTATTGGTTGGTTGGGAGAAGAGAAGAAGACTAGACTACCTAGGTACTACTAGCTTTGACTAATAGAGTGGGCGAATGAGCAAACATTGCAAACAGGAATCAGTTGAAAGAGGGGAGGATGTGCTTGGAGAGTGAAAGCCCAAGGCCAACTGACACGATATCTATATTGAACAAGTGTACTCGGTAAATTTTGAAATCTTTGAAAAAGATCAGGAGCAAAGAAAAAGGGAAATATCCATGACCTTTTCACTGGGCTTTCTTCGACGACTTCGTCTTCAACCTCATGAAAAGGAACACCAGACCATACGAACTGAAAATAAAAATGACGAATATAGCAGCATCTCTCCATCCGTAGTACCAATCGTTGAGGTTGATGGTGCGGAGGTAATCGCTTCCTTTCGTGTATTGACAGACACGGCAATTTGTCAGGTCCGTGGGATTTAACAAGTTGGCACCGGACTGGTCGAGGTAGCTCTCCAGATAGTCGAAGCACGTCGTGTTGGGCTTGGGATCAAATATCGCGAGCTCGCTTTCAGTGCAGATGACATCCGCATTGAAGATGTTGAAAGTGAGCATGCTTCCAACCATGTAGGTCAATGGGTTCAGCCAATACATCCAGTATTTCCAGAACACGACGAGCTGGTCGTAAGGCACCAATATCCCATTGAATGAAACGATGATTCCGATCCATAGTGGGTTCGCAAGAGATGCAGCGACTGCGTTCGGTGAATATGCTGCAATGAACTGACCAAGCCCAGTGTAGAAGAACTCATACATGAGAACCACAAAGAAGCTGGCGCCGGCCTTACTTGCGTCGCTAGAGAAGCCGACAGTGAAATACCAACAGACAAAGTAGAGCACGCCACATATGACTAGATATGGCATCTCGGACACGATCAGACCCGTCACGAATGCTTTCCATGAGTAGATTCGTGACTTCTTCTCGCGAGTGTCATAGACATTTCGTCGCTCGATGAAGACCGGTTGAAGCTGATTGATAACACCCTGAGCGACGAACATCCAGACAAAAATTGTGAACAATTTAAGCTGGAGTTCTCCGACGGTATTACCAATTTGCCAATAAGTGAATCCATTGAACAATCCCAGGCCTATGTGAAGGAGAAGCTTGTTGTTGATATAGCCAGTGTTGCGAAATGTTGCAAGATTCATCCGATGAAGAACAACCTTTGTTTGAAACCAGACAGGCATTGCATACTCAAAGGCATCGGCGTCTTCAGTAATCTTGGTTCCTTTGGCGGAGGAAAGATCGTGCAGCTCGCTCATGACAGTTTGGTTCTCTTCGCTATCGAGCCAGATTTTGTGCCAATCCTGACAAGAGCCCTGTCCCGAGATTGTATCGATGATGTGCTCTGCCGGGTTGGTACCCGGCGGACAATGAGCTCCATAGCGACCGAAGTAATCATGAATTGCTTGACAGGACGGGCCAATGTCTCCAAAGTATGCCGTCTTCCCACCCCGCTGCAGCAGTAAAAGACGGTCGAATTGCGTGAATAGTTGAGCCGATGGCTGATGAATGGTGGCTAAAACAGCTTGACCAGAGTTTGCAAGTTTTCTCAAGAAGCGTACAGTATTGAAGGCCGATTGACCATCTAACCCCGAGGTGGGCTCATCAAGGAAGATAAGAACCTTGGGTTTGGCGACAAGCTCAACTCCAATAGTGACCCGCTTTCTTTGCTCGACATTCAGCCCGTAGCCAGATCCTGGTGTTCCAATCAAAGTATCGGCAATATCGTGAAGCTCGAGCAAATCGATGATGACGTTCACGTAATTTAATTTCTGATCCTCAGAGACATCCCGACTTTGACGCAAAAGAGCAGAAAACTCCAAGGCTTCTCGAACAGTCGCAAAAGGCTCATGTACATCAAGCTGCTCGACATAGCCTGTGGACCGTTGGAACGAAATCGGGAGAGCCTGGCCATCAACTAAGACAGAGCCTTCTATCTTCCCTTCGGTTTTTCTCTGGGCTAGAACATCGAGAAGAGTGGTCTTTCCGGCTCCTGAGGAGCCCATGAGCGCAGTGAGTGTTCCAGGCTTCACCCAGCCTTGGACATTGTCGAGTAGTAGCTGGGGGCCAGAAGGTGTCTTCACTGTATAACTCAGATTTTTCCACGTGAAAACCGAACTGTTGGGGGCCAATTGTTGCTCGAGAAGTGCCGGATTTGTTGATGGCTGGTTTGAGCTCACAGCCTGCAGCTTCTCGGATTCCGATGAATATTGAGACTCTTCGTCACAGTTTGCTTTGGTCTGATGGGAGGCAAGTCTTTCACGGGGAATAAGAAGTTGTGACCCCTTGTCAGAGCCATCGCGCCAGGTGTTCATTCCCACAATGTTGACACACAAATAAAACACCCACCACGCACAGATAATGCCGAAGTTTCGCCACAAATGTGCATGGCTGTATGACAGACTGCTCAGATACTCATCGCCAGTCAGAGATGTTGCGCCTTGTCTTGCGCCGCCAACTCCAGCACAAGAGGCAAACTGGCCATCTGTTGGATATCCATCCCCGTGTGGAACTAGATTCGGTCCCACACACGGCATATTTTTCAGGTGAAACTCGTTGCCCATCAATGCTTCGAAGCCATATGAAAGAGGATTCAGCCAATACAGCCAGCGAAACCATGGATGCATTTGTGTGAAATGTATTTGGTATCCTGAATACATTGCCATGATGGAGATAGCGTACCCAGAAATCTGAGCGGCTGTGTTGAAGGAACCGAAGACTGCTCCGATGGCACGAAACATTGAACAAGCGCACATGTTGGTAACGAACAGGACAATCCAGAAGGTGAAGAATTCCGAAGCACCCATAGAAAGTCCGACCATGAAGTAGACGATGAGTGACCACACGGTTACCTGGAGAATTGCCATCGGGGCATCAGTAGCTAACTTGGCAATGCAAGCGGCAGATGGATGAATGTAGGCAAAGGACTTGTGCTTGAGGATAATTGGCCTTCCGGTGAAGGAATCCACGACCTCGGACATCATAGTCATGTTGTTGTATAAAACAGACCAAAACAAAGCACCGCCTTTGAGGAAGATCCCGGAAGAGTCGTTTGGTGCCATGTAGTAAAGTGATCCCGCAACCAGGGCTTGGATGAGATTCGCGCCTTGTTTGATGAAAAATGTTGCCATATCTCCACCAAGAATTTGGTATTGGCGGACCACACATATGCAAATCTGCTCAAAGAGGCTCACTGTAAACTGACTCTTTTGGGAATTCCTTTCCAGACTGGCGTTCTCTCTGAAATCTTTCGAATTTCGTTGTGCATCCTGCGTGGTCGGATAATTGTACTCGGCTTGCATAGTCTTGAAAATCGGAGACTGTTGATAGTGCGAAAGAATCGAGGTGGCATCGCGAGGAAAAGTTGCTTCAAATCCAGGGCGAACTCGACGCTCAGTAGGGACGGTCACTCCAGTCAGGAAATCTCCAACATTTCCCCCTTCGTCACGAGAAAAACCCAAATCTTCCATGAACTCTCGAGCCTGATCTCTCGGGCCATAGAATATCTGCTTTCCTTCATCCAACACAAGGACCTTGTCAAACAGATCGAAAATGCCATTCCCTGCTTGGTAAAGTGTCACAATGGTCGATAGCCCATACACATCAGTCATTGAACGAATGCCCCTGGCCCACTCCAATGCATTAATTGCATCAAGACCACGGGTGCTGTTGTCCCAACAGTAAACAGAAGCTCTTGATGCTAGACATTCCAGAATGGAGACTCGCTTTCTCTCGCCACCTGAAACCCCACGAACGTGCTCGTTTCCAACTTTCGTGTGTGCTGTGTGCGAAATACCAAGAGAATTTAGAAGAAAATCAGTCGTTTCAGAGGAGTATGTATTCTTGGAGGCAGCACCGTTGGGAAGATGAGAAGGCACTTTTGATCGTGTGGCACAGTTGATTGTATCACCAACGCTGAGAGTTGGGTAAAAGGTCTCTTCCTCTGAATTCATGATGATCTGGCCCCGATAATTCTCCGCCTCTTGATGATTCATACTCCCAAACCAAAAATCACCATCAATTGAAGAGTAGCCTGCGCGTTTGTTGGACAACATTTTGAGTAATGTCGTGCAGCCTGAGCCTGGACGGCCGAGAACGAGAAGCATTTCGCCAGGTTTGACACAGCCATGACTGTTTTCGAGGATGGTCCGCGTTGGCATTTCCTTCGAGCGGCGACCCATGCGAGTCATGGCGTTGAACTGGGAAATGGAGTTTTCATTGACCGTGGCATCGGCACTGAGACCTTTGACGGTCAGGTTGTTCCAAGTGACGCCAAGATTTCGAGAATGATAGCCAGAATCGAGGTCTTGTTGATGAGACTTTTCAATTGTCGAAGCGAAATGCCATTTTTCAGTGTTTTCCAGTGAATTGGCTCTTGTAGATGGCAGGCTTTGAGGAGAGCCCTGCGGAGCAGCCATGGCAAACAATGGAAACGCTCCTTTGGAGCCGAGGAAAGTTGAAACAAAAAGTCTTTCGAGACCACTCAATGTTTACCAGCTATATACGTGGGGATCGGGGTTTTCATATTTATGTAGAACACGGGTGGATTCTGCCAAGCCGCACAGGAAAAAGATTGCACATCTGAAAGGCACGACCCATAGGGTTGAGAGGTTGAGAGAGGATAGTCGGGCCCATATGCGGAGACCTTTTCAATCCGGCAAATCAATTTCTCCCATATGAACTGCAAGTGGAGGCATGCCCGAGACTCATCGCCTTCGGACTTTCGGCCACGGTACCTATCGATCAACATAATCAACACAATAGCCTGATTGGGGACTGATCTCCTAAATTTTGTATTCATATATTCGACCCCTGCAGATAACTGCTATACCCTCAGAAAACCCGAAAAAGACCGAAATGTCAACCCGATACTCCAACCTTTTCTAGAAGTTCTGCACGTGGCCCCGGGGAGTTCGGACTGGAATGACTAATTCTCCGAGTCATCCAATCACCGTCGAGCTTCACATCCGCTGTCAGGGGATTGAGAGATGCTGATTGGTCTTCGGAACCTTACTCTTTTCAGTAAGTTCCGAGACTTCCGCCTCACAACTTCGACTCTGCATAGTCCACGCCCTTCGGACGTCAATGCGTCGTTGCTCCTTCATTCGGGTTTCGAGTGTGTCAACATTGCTTTACGGCCCCGCCACGTGATTTCTGCCTCATTCTAGGCTCTATACGTCATCAATGCCACTGGGGTCCCTCGACGTGCTCATAACATTTCATAGAGCATTTCCCTGGGAGGAGACTTAATATGCCTCGCGCTATAACATTTCGAGGCGGGTCGCTATTTACCAATGGAGATCTCCAAGCTGTGGGTTTCATGGATTCGGCGCCGTATACCAACAAACTTTCCTTTCTAACATTTGCCAGTGTGATTTGTGCCATGCAAGAAAGGTATTCCAATGCCCTCGACTCAACACGCTGGTTCCCTTTTGATCACGTTATGATTCTTATAAATCTTTACACCGAAGACGAAATGCGATAGGCAGGCCGAATGTCGAAGCTGTGCTTCGATTCGAGTTCCATGCACTCGTGACCGCTCAAGAGGGCGTCGACCGCGCCAAAGAGCGCATCTACAGCAAGTCTCAACTACACAGAACTTTGCCTTGCGGTTGACTAAATTTCTTTGATAGATCCTCACATGGCGCAGTTAAAGCCAACGAGAAATTGCAAGAGGGAACTCAAAGGACCGGTATCAGAACCGGTGCCTCTACGCCATCAAGCATCTTCGATTCGACTTTAAGACCCCACGATGGAACTGTTGACAGATCCGACATGGTCGATAATTCGACTACCTTGATCCAGCAAGAGCTCGAATCAAATTCAAATCTTCCTGCAAGTCGGATGCGGGCATTGGAGCACGCCCTTACCATTGTTAAAGCATTTGCGACAGCCTCACACCAGGGATACCATGCACAGCATGATGAGACTGTCGACAGGAATGAATCTATAGTCGACAATATCCCTCCTGAGCTACTCTATATGACGATTCACGGTAAGGCACCCGCCTGGATATTACTCGCCTTGCAAACTGATGAATACAGGGTCAAGCAAAATGGAAAAGCAAGGCCTCGTCTGGGCAGACCATCTTGCATCTGATACAATGGAGCGATTTTCCTTGGCAATCATGAGCAACACGGTTCATGGTGAGGTTGCCCTCCAACACAAATTATGTTTATTTTCGAAGGCGACCACCTTTATTAGTCGATGGCTGCGAGTATGCCTGGCTGACCATTCATCTGATCAATGTTCTTTGTGTTGCTTGGGGTCGCAGACTATATATGTTCGTACACGTCTGGCTCCCAAGACCCTTCCGAGTGAAACGAGTTTCGTCAAACTAAACTCGCTTCATAAATTTCTAAGTTCATATGTTTGCCCATATCGACAATATCTTCAAGTTCGTTTCACTTTGTTTAATGTCAAAGATAGGTTGCCCTTCTCTTTATATGAGAAAGGATCCGAATTTGGGCGATAAAGTCAGAGCTGCTCGGTTGACGTCAAAATTTTATCGATCCATGGATAACTCCCGGAAAACTCCCGCACCTCTTTGCTTCCATCTTCTTTTGCTTCACTCCCTTCCGTTTTCACCGTAAGGCGGTCCCAAGGGTGCACCCCATTCATAAGATCCGCCGATCTCCGCATTTTGCCAGCATCTAAGGTCTCTGAGGATATAATCAAAACACTTAGCAATGTTTCCCGCTTCCTCTAAATCCTCACGGTAATACCGAATTGCCCGTCCGCAGTGGTCAAACCACATCACTAGGACTTTTCCTGCGTCGCGGCCATCGGAGGCAAGAGTTGTCGCATCAACAATATGAATACGTCCTGCTACAAGCCGCCAGAGGTACTCCGAATAAAAACATATCCATGGGAGCCCATCCTCCACTGGGTCATAGCCGCTTTCTTCAGCATGCTGGGCATCCTCGCTCTCGTCCTCGATCCCCTCTTGCAGGGCCTCATTAACATACTCATCATATTCCTCGGCTGATTGAGTACTAATGAGGAGCTCTGGGCAACGAAGAAAAATCTTCTCCCAATCGGAGTCGAAGTTGTATAGGGATGGGTTGTTGAAAATTGGAGGCGGGTTGTCCCCAAACTTGTGTTCAAGGTGATTTTGAACTCTGGCCCAAGAGTCTTTGGTGGAAGGCTCATAGCAGGTGCGAAGCCACAATGGGTCGTCAGTTAATAAGCGCTCAGCAGGTAGGCGGATGCGATTCAAGAGCTCTTGGCTATGCGGTAGGAGATCCAGTACAGAGCGGCTCTTGAGCCTCTGTTCGGATCCGTTAGCTTTCCCGCGAATAAGGTAGTGATGAAGGGACCAAAGTCCAAATACCTCACGGCCATGGAATCCTAGTGCCACCCATTTAGCGAAAACTTGTTCTCGCTGCTCATCGACAGATAGCGATGAGTTCTGGTGCCATTCACTCTTGAATATAGTTAGAATATAGATGTTCAGGCCGAGTGAAGGGGTTTACCAAGAGAAACAAGTCAGCCTGTGAGACTGGCAAATCAGACATTCTGCGAAGTAGTATCGCGAGGGAAGATGGTTGCATAGAGTGAGTGATTGGAGGTTGTCTTGGTGGGACAGATACCAGGGCTCGATCCTTCCGATACTAGTGCCTAATTCTGCCTAGTGCGGGATGAACCCTACTAGACCCACTTATATCCATGATTCCGATTGAGTACAGATGGAATTGGCCGTGCATACATATGAAGCCACTAAGTATTAGGTAGAACTGTGCACCCGGTCCAGAGCTAGAGAGAGACTTCAAGACGGGGATTATTGTGTTTAATGTAGCTGCTCAAGATTTCTGAACTTTGGAAGCTGCCTCTGAAGTACTTGAATCTTCATGTTTGCCAATTTCTTGATGCCTCTGATGTGGAACATGCACATGTCTGGGGGGAGCTTTCTTATCTCCTGCCCTTCAATTCTCTCTTCCCATCATTCCAAAGAAAGCAAGAGAGCCAGACATTATTGCAGATGTCTTTCCTGATCGAACTGGCCAAGAACTTTCTCTAAACACCCAGGGGCATAAGCACTTTTAACCCGGGCGGATTTCTTAGGTGGATTGCATGAATCGCAGTGACCGTCATATTCACGCTCGCATTTCTTAAAGGTGCAAGCTTCGTTCGTTCCGAAGACGAATGCGCGATGTCACCTTCGGCAGACCCATTCATGTAGTGGGCAGTGGTCCCTCCGGCTGTTCCTTCGGGTTTTTTTGCGACAGATACCGCAGTGATGCTTTGATGGGAATCGAGGCATTTTATCGCGCGACGATTGCAGCGTGTTGGGACAGAATACAACAAGATCGAGGTGAAATGTTGATCTCGGGCTTGTAAAATCATCAGTCAATTGCTCTGAGCACATTGGGACAACAGGACGGATGGTCAGTCTTGCCTATGTCCGAAGGTGAGGAAGGATGAGAGGATAGCGTAGAAGATTAAGAGTGGACGGGGGGTTCGGTGATGGTGGAAGGGAAGAAGAAAAGTTAGGATCGATAGATGTAGGTCATTTGGTCTGGTATATTTGTGTCGAGATGACCAATCTTAAGGCTCATATGCCACCATTTGGAACCCCCTCTCTCTCACTCCAAACTCAGTCTCGACCATAAGAAACCACTACATTTCTTGCTTATCAGTTATCCTAATAGATTCTGGGCCCTGGAATCTCTTTATAAGCAAGAAGAGCACCATATTGACCCAGTCAACACGATGGTATTGACACACAACCTGAAGCGCAACAGTACAAGTAAGCAAAGGACGAAAGCGAGCTTTGACCTTGCAATCATCGCACCACCCCAAGATGGAAGATCCGAGGAGATCTGAATTTGCTGACACCGCAAGATAGGTGTGAAAGGTATGCATTATTTAACTCCGCAATCGTCAGGGAACCCTGCAAGACCGAGGCAGGCAACTCAGGAGATATTGGCTCACCTTCAACCCACTGGCATGTCAGCGATAAGGGAGGCAGCAGCACTACCAGCAAGTAGCATTTTCAGAACGGTTCGACCACGACCATAACCACAGAGCCACGCCGGCAAGCACAAACGATGACCGATACAGAAGCGAGTCCAATCATTCCATGCAACGCCAAAGGATACAGCGCCCGCGCACCTCGAGATCCCCGTCATCGGAGGCCTGAATCTCACTGAGTCGACCGAGTCGTGGGATAATTCGGATCGAAACGAGAACCTGGTGCAACGTATCCCCCGAGACAATCAGTGATGGCGAATAGTCAAAGCAACAACCCGAGCAGCAGCCTCAGTACGCCAGGTACAATCACAACTTTTGCGATGGAAACAGGTACGGTGCATCTCAAGGCTTCCATCTACGCCTCGATACCGGTGATACCTTGGTGCTATTATTTTGCCAGGAAAACTTCGGTCTAGCGAGGAGCGATGCTTGACGCCCATTCACGCTGATTTCAAGGAGTGGAGGCACATTCACATCTTCACTGAGACCTCGGAACATGTGCAGTCAAGCCCACCGGGTCCCCCCCCCCCCCCCCCCCCCCCCCCCCCCCCCCCCCACACCCCCCACCCGAATCGATCGGTTTTGTGTCTCTCTTGGTCCTCAAATTAGAGTTGAGTACAATATCAGTACGACCAAAAAGCCGTGTTGTAAGAGCCTCAGCCTCCAGCAAACTTTATTCGAAGTACTCTGTACGGGGTACAGGGTAAGTTGTACCTGAAGTCAAATACTTAAACGACAACAAAGTGATAACGATGAATGCGCCTCTTTGCATTAATATGACCGGAGAACAGCTAATCATCGGATGGAAATCGATCTGCACGAGACAGCCAAGAAAGCCAAGCCACCATCTCCCAAATAATAAGGGTCCTAGCCCTCCTAGCGAATCAAACTAGGCTAGAGCTTCGTATTCAACAGAGCAGCCTGAAACGTTAAAAGGGAAGCGTGATCCCCCACAATGTGGACGGTCGCCTTTGAATTCACGTTTCGCGCCTGTGACGAGAGGCATTCCCTAGTCTGTTCAGCTTCCGACGGTCTGGGCGATAATCGCAATGCGCCGCGACTCGGCATTACTACAGCTACTGCTGTTTCTCGCACCGCAGGTTTTGGGCAAGGATGATTTCAATTTCCACCCAGATAAGAATTACCGGCCGCGGAACGTGACGGGGCTGGATTATTACTATTATCCATGGATTGGATCGTGCGCTTCACCCGTATCTACTGGCTGACTGCATACTAATAGGCTGTTTATAGATACTACAATGGAAGTGTCGTGTTCACCGTCTCCGACATCGAGCGTAAAGACGATCGCGCCGACTATGAAATTGAAAAGGGACCGAAGTTGGAGCTCTGCGATCAGCTGCAAAACATCACGTATACATGGTCATACCCAGCAATCCTAGCGATCACAGAGACAGAATCGGAAGATGACCGGCCGAAAAACACGAACCCAATCGATGTTTCGCTGTACACATCATACTCAAACTTCACGAAATATTTCAACGATTATATGGATTCCGGTAACATGCAGATAACGGAGATGCCCTTTGTGTTCCAGTCAATTGAGATGTCGTAAGTAGATTCTCCTTTCCATTGCGTATTCGCGTTTCTAACAGCTTGCTAATTTGCGACAGACGTTATTCATACCCCGCAAGTGAATCCACGAAGCCAGAATTTAATCTGACCGTCGCCGAGGAATCTGGGAATGGGCTTCCTTTCCGAGTGACAGGGATCTCAGAGCTAGAGCGGAACCCGCTCGATACTTTGCAGATGAACATGTCGACCTGCTTCCGTACTGAGGGATGGTGGGGTGCCGGTCCCATTTCACTCAATAACAGCTTTGGTATCCCCGGCATCACAAACCCAACCTTGCAGCTGGCATTCGACGACTCTTCTGCGAGCTTCAGTATTGGATCTTGGTTTCTCGCGAATACCTTAGCCGAAGAGGGGGAGGAGACCCCAAGAATCTATGGGAGAGTGACGATCGAGTTCTTGGGGAGGATTGATGCTGCACGCTCGGATATCTTAAACAAGAGGACTCCGGTGACATGGACACCGAGTCTAGGGTTTGGGAATAATTCCCGGGGTTTAGATAATGAGTCCGGCGCTTTCGTCACAGCCAGTGTGAACATTCGTTGGATATGGGGGACTTTGGCGACTAGTTTAGCATGCATTTTCATGTAGATACGGCATCATCTGCCCTATTAACACCTTATGCAAGTATACTTAAGTGGAACGCCCAGAACTAGTATCTGTAGCATACATTTTCAGCTTTTGGAATTCCACCTCTCGGTAGCGAAACAGTATGTGAGCTAGGGCCATATTGTAGTAGCTATTTAGTAGTATATCTGGTCTGAAAAAGGAGAACAGAAGTAAACTCTTTAAATCCTAGATACATGGAGACAAGAACTATCATTCTAGAATTTTACTACTTAAACATCCAAAAATCATCTTTCTTACCTCTCTTCCTCACTTTTTCTTTACTTTTTCTTTATTTTTTCTTTATTTTTTCTTTATTTTTTTCTTAGTCTTTCCTCGCTCTTTTCTTACATCCTTTTCTAATTCTCATTCTTTCTTGCTCAAATCGATATATTTTTCTATCTCAAATAAACAGAGAAATATTATTATTGCTATATCTATGTCTTTCTCTTTCTTATTCCAAAAGAAAGCCCAGCATCTATTCTGGGCTTCAAATCCCTTCTGCTTCTTTCGGTTTACCCTTTCAAGGACATGCCTTAACCTGGAGTCTGCAACATGGCCCCTTCAAAACATCCTCTCTCCCCTATCGTTCGCGCATCGGACGGGCATCAGTTCGACAGCGATGAGCTTATCTGGTACAATTTAATTCCTGCCTATGAGCCTCACTTCTTTGATGGAAGGAGATCTCAAGATTACTAGTCATCACGACATGCCACTTTATCGCTGAACCTTTTCCAGCGTTTCACCGATACCTTTCATTACGGCGTACAGGTAGAAAATAACCAGACGAACCAGCACAGGATCATCTATTCAGAGACAGGCATCACCGTCACATTTTTCATTGGAGGAGAAACCGAGATACCGCAGTTTGGTCTGCGGCTTCGTTGAACCACAGTTGATCCAAATTATTCTCTTGACTGTACAGCGATTTGGACATCTTGTAACTACGAGATGCTTCATAGCGACAGGGTTACCACCCCCACAATGTTGAGACCTATCGGCAAGAGGAAAGGAACGGAGAGAACCGACTGAATTCACTACTCAGAGAGAGAGAGAGAGAGAGAGAGAGAGAGGGGGGGGGGGGGGGGGGAAAAAAAAAAAAAAAGGGGGGGGGGGGGGGGTGTGTCAAAAAGGGGGGGGGGGGGAAAACCCCCGACAAAACAAACAACCAAACACCAAACGCAG